CTCGACGCCTTCCCCCCACCTTCCAGCTGAGCCCTGGGTCCCGGGCCTCCTCTCGGCAGGCAGAGGTCCCGGCCCAGGGCGTCAGCAGACCTCCGCGCCCCCAGCACCTTCCTCTTCTTCCAAAAGGTTAGCCTTGCTCAGCCCTGGCCACAGGGGGTGGCTTTACCCAGGCCCTGTCATTAAAGGTGCTGCACGCGGTGGAGAATGAGGTGGGAAAACCGCAGTGCGAGTGATAATTAAACGTGAAAAAGGAGGGCTCCCCGCTCTCAGGCAGCTCCTGGCCTTTGTCATCAGAGTGACTCGGAGGCGGTGGGGGCCGTCCGCCCTCAGCCCCGGGGCTGCGTCCAGTGCACACAGGCCACTGGCCCAGGTCCGAATGGGAAGCCATCGTTAAACGTTAAAATGCTGCCTTTTCTATGGGGAGTGAGAATGTTACAAATTAGCCCTGAGAACACATCGAGAGAATACGGAGCACCATGGAAATGGTCAGAGAACTGGAAGCCAGAAAAGCACACGTTGTTTTCTCAGGAGAGAAGGCATGGGGAGAAGAAAACGGTTTCCAGGGAGATGGGAAGAACATATGAACGGGTCTCTCCTTCCCATCTGACCTTGGAACCACCCGCCTGGCTTCCTCATCTACTTCCTGTCGTTTCATAACAGGGGCCCACTGTCCTGACTTCAGACTCCTGCCCGGGGAGGGGCGCTCAAGACAGGCCCTAGCTCAGGGCGGTTTTCCCGGAGGCACAACGGTTCATCTAGATCAGTGATGGTGAACCCTTTGAGCTCGGCGTGTCAGCATTTTGAAAAACCCTAACTTAACTCTGGTGCCGTGTCACATATAGAAATATTTTGATCTTTGCAACCATAGTAAAACAAAGACTTATATTTTTGATATTTATTTTATATATTTAAATGCCATTTAACAAAGAAAAATCAACCAAAAAAATGAGTTCACGTGTCACCTCTGACACGCGTGTCATAGGTTCGCCATCACTGGCCTAA